TGAGGTTGATAGGGTCGACGTCTTCTTTGGTTTTGGGAAGGGCGTGATTGAATAGACTGATTTGTTTGATAGGACATTGATTTGGTTTTCGCAGCTTTTTTGAGCTTTTTTTGTTGTAGTTTTTGAACACTGTTTACATTTATGTTTGATATGATCTATACGTATACCTGTCTAATGTACTTTTCATGCGTAGTGTTAGTACTGTATTAATCACATCCTGATTCGCGAGACCTTCCATACTAGACTCTCTTTACAGTGTAATCAATGCCATTGATTGTTGGTGGAATCGAACCGGACCCGTTTCGGTCAGTGAAAAAAAGTAAAAAGACTGAGTGGTAACACTAAGGGATGCAGAAGTGGTGACAATAACCCGGTATATCACCCGTCAAAACGAGTGATGAAAGGGTTCTAAACCGGTGGAGACCGGGTTACAAGAACCTGGTATCCCAGTTGCGACCAGGTTTTTTGTGACCGGGTGATCGTGTCCGAAAAAAACAGGTCAAAACTAGGTTTACCGGGTGATTTGTAGACCAAGTTTTGTCACCCGGTCGACGTAACTGGGTTATTGAGACTCGTTTTTAAAGTTACTCAAAGTAGATTTTTTGTTGATTATCGCTCGTTTGAACAGTTGTAAATAACTCGGAAAACAGGTCATATTTAACTGTCTAGATACACATTATGTAGTTTACTTAGTATCTTCCTGCACATCCAATACTCAATCAAAAGGCCATTCAGCTTCTTCAGTGCCCCAATCTCAGTTTCCGAGTCACCATTACCAAGTCCAATGAAGCCGTCATCGATTGCAAGTCCGTCTCCGAGTATTTCCATAGCTGAAATTCACGAATAAAAAGAGACGGGAAAATATAGGAAGGTGGTTGGGAGGGCGAATGTAGAGGTCGGGGTAGTGATCAGGTAGAAGCGGAAGAGCGAGCAGAGTGCAACAATGTCACTAAGTAGTCAGTAACGATGAACTGGACAAAGGCGGGAATACGTACAAAGTATGCGCTGAGGGCTATGACATTCCAAGAGTTTCCGCAGCTTTGCCTCTGATCAAAAAAAAAGTGGACGAGTTATCGACAAAACTCTAAAAGAACTCAGAAATTACTTACACACACATGCCAATGTAGATGATGTTGGATGAGGTGCCGACATATGAGCGGCCACGTTGAACATAGAAAGGATCACAAGAACAAGCCAGATCACGTACGAAGCCTATAACGAAGGAGAGAGAGTAAACACAGTGGTCGTGGACGTAGTATGTAGTAGGATAAAGATATCGATAAAGTCACGAAGTTTTAATCTCCGCCATATGAAGTCATGTGCCAGAGAATCTGCACGTGCGTCACGCAGAAACTTTGCGAAGTTCAAACAGGGTAGAAATGAGTAGGTAGAACTCGGTGAATTTTTTGACATGGTTATTATCACCAGTTTTAAATTGTCACTATGTTATGTAGTAGGAATCACCAAGTACTAAGTAAAACTGGATCACTAGTACAAAACCTAAAAAACTGGTGATTGGTGACAGTCACCATAATTTGACGGTGATTGTCACCCGGGATTGGTTCCATATTATAACAAGCTCACCGTACGGGTAACTGTTAGCGGCAGTATACACATATGATACATGTCATCCAAATAGCTCCTTCAATGTCCCCAAATACTACCTCACTACAATTGCCTCGATGCTGTACAAGTCTACAAATCTAAGAACGACTCCTGGCACTTGTCACTCGAAAATTCACTCAGTGTGTTCACCACGACTTCGACGGTCGGACGGCTACTTGGGTCTTCAGCCAAGCAGCTGACCACCAATTGCCTGAACCACTTTGGGACCACCTCATCATCCTCTCTCCAGCAACCATCAGGAATTTCCTCTTTTTCGAATTCTGAGATCACCTTCGACAGTGCCCAAAAGATAATACCTAAAGCATAAACATCGCGAGCTGGGGTCAGCTTGGGCTCAAACTCGTCAAGCTCTGGCGGGGTGTAGGAGTGAGTATACCCGGACGTGGGATAAACATCAATGAGGGAGATATCGTTCGCATCTGATAAAAGTATGTTGTCCAGCTTTAGATCACCGGAGTAGGAAGATCGCTGATGAAGGGCTTGTACACCCATTGCAATCTGTAGGGCCCATTTCTGTTTCAGTGCCCATTCAATGGGGCTGTTCGAACGCTCGATAACTTGCCGCATCGAGCCTTTGGGATAGTATGGCATTAGGAATCCGCGAAAGACAGGTTTGGCATCGGATCCAGCATCGATGACAATGTGCGTCATTTTAACTATGTACGCTGAGTCGGCCAGTGCCAGAAGTAGCCTGGCTTCATCGAGGAGATTGTCTACCGAGTCGTGATCTGGAGTGAGGAGAGGATAGTGTTTGAATGCAAAGCGTGTGGGATGGTCGTCGATAACAACCAGGTCGACAGTGGTGCTGTGACTAAGCTCGTCAGAAAAGCGGGTGAGGGCGTCGATAGAAACACGAGGTACATTGATGAGATCATCTGGAACAGCAGGAAAGGATTCCATGGTAGGGTCTGAGGAAACTTTCATTGTCGCGGAGCCATCTACAGTTTTATACTCGATGTTTGTGATTACACTGGAGTCGCGAGGCATGTGAGGCACGATGTGCTCGACTACATCGATTGAAGCCAGAGAAGTTTCGTTTTGTAGAGCGTCATTTTCTGGACAGTTTAGCTCTTCAAGATTCCAGTAGTAGGAAACGAGAACAAAAGGACCGGTGTTATAGCGGTGAGGGTTTCTGTTGATGCAAAGGCGCGTCTGTCCCCATGTGGGTGGTTTTGACGGATCGAGGGAGGGTGCCACCGTAAATCCTGAAATATCCATTGAGGAATTGGAATTGTACTCGTTGATCATGACGTTAGGTGAGTGTTCTGTTTGGGCAGTGTTTGCACCACGCCCAGCGTGGATTAGGGACTACACTCTATAGCTAAGGGCATCTGTAAACACACGAGGACTTAAATCGTTGAAAGAGCGCCCGGGGCGGGTTAGGAAACTTACTAGGAAACTTAAAGTTTCTGATTCGACTTTCAGCCTAAATATGTAAGTTACTCACGGATGCAAGTTACTGAATTGGATCGATCATGTTCCTACAATGTTCCTGATCGGAGTAGCCATTCTTGCCCATAGTGAGTAAAACATAGAAAGACTCAGTCACCCGGAATGTCGCCTGGAGGCTGCTGTGATATAGGCTTAGCAAAGCACAGATGCTCAAAATTGAAAAATGTCTTGGATCCATGGTGAAAGTGACCAAAGGTTGTACAACCACTTTGACAGACTAGGTGAGATGGAGGTAGTACGCAGTTCAATTTTTGAAACTTTCCATATTTTACAAATACAGGTGTAGATACTAACATCATTAATTTGTTACCCTACAATTTGCTCTTTATGAAGGATTGTCCGATCTTCATCAGTAGCGCTTCCCTTCCAACTCCACGAGCGTCAATATAGACCAAAACAATGTTGTGTGCTGTGCCAGTTAGATGCGCAAACGCTTGAGCAGCCTCTGCTCCGAGTCCATATTTGTGCCCAACAACAGTGCTAGCGTTCTTTCCTCCGGAGGCAAGTAGTTTCTGTCCGGACTCATTGACTGTGGATAAGATCAAGCCTGCAGACAAGACAAGCCGGGTTCCAGTATTCACCTTACGAGGCGGAAGAGGAGGGTCGGCTTCAGCAGATGTAAAAGGTTGGGGTTGTCGTTGGAACAGTAGTCATCGGTGTTTTAGCCTTCTTGGACATGCCACTTATTACCTTCACCATTGTGCTATCGATTGCATTGAAGGTTTTCGAGCTCATTTCAGCTGCCTTAGTACTGAAAGCATGAACTTTTTCAGAACAGGTTTGGAAGTGAGGAGGGCGGATACGTTTTTGCTTGTGCTCGGTTCAGAATGAGCAATGAAGTGGTTCGATGCTCTGGTCATAAAATTGACTAGGAGATCGGTGCCGTCTGATATGCCTTGGCTAACAAAAACCGCACCTGTCATCATCCAATTTTGTTCATCTGGAGAGACGGTCCTCGCAAAAACTTCGACGGCCCCTTCGGTGGGTTTGACTCCTTCAGGAATCTCGATGACGATAGGATCCTTTTCATGTCCCTTCTCGGCTAGACCAGGATCCTCCTTCACATTGAGCCTTTTCTCTACTTCGCCAATAATCTCTCCTGTATCCTCGTTGACCAAAACAAGCTGACCTCGTAAACGACTATCGTTGGGTTCATCGCGGTCAAACATAATCTTTCCAGGTGGCTGGGACGAGCTCGGAGAGACGTCAGCATCATCAGCCGCTCCACGGAAATCAGCATATTGGGACAGGATGCTCTCAAACATCTCCAAGTCCCTTTGCTCGCGGGGAGAGATTTCATTACTGAGGGTGTGAGAAGTGAAGGAAACAGTAAGGCAGAGTTCTCTAGGGTCTGCACATGTTCCATGAAAGACGTAGCTTCGCCCGTTGGAATTGACGGACCTGACAGAAACAATGCGATCTGCATCCAGAGGTACTTCGAGTGCATTGACGCAGAGTATGATAAAAGCATCACGCCCGAGAGACGCTTGGGCCGGAACAGGGTGTGTGGCGTATTTTACCACATAGAGTTCCATTTTCCGTGCCGTCAGGACTCGTCAGAGCAACATTAGGGAGAGAGAGCAGGATAGAGCCTTCACGAGGTTGGTCTGCGGAAGCCATGGATGGTGACTGGTACGTTTAGGATAGGATGGGTTGTGCCCAATATATACATATGGTTGATCATGACGTTAGGTGTCAAGAAAACGTGTTTGGGCAGCGCTTGTGCGTGAATTAGTGACTACGCTCTAAGAGCACCTGTAAACACACGAGAACTCCCAAAACGAACTACAGTTTTGTCATCGGAAATTGATCTGGTTATCGTCTAGTATGAGAAGATTCGTTCGTGCCATCATAAAGCAAAGGGTCTGCCACTTTGCAGGTAGATAGGTGGATTAGGCGGCTCCTCCAGGAAATTGAACAGCGGTCTAATAGTGTAGTGGTTAGCACACGGGATTTTGATTATGTTAAAGCATAAAATGTGGCTTCCCGTAACCCAGGTTCGAATCCTGGTTAGACCTCCTTTTTAGCTACCGTTTCTGTCGCTTCTATGGACAACCGTATCACCACTTTTTCTAGGGCCGACTTCCTTGATATCAAACTTGAAGCGGTGTATAAATTAGCTATGATACAGAGAATACTATAATACAGGCGTCTGTCAGCATGGTCCATGAAAAGAACGCAACGCATGGGTTAAAGCGGTGGAAGCGGTCTGCGACACTGTGGGCAGATATTCTACACGTAAAAAATATATCAGCATGTACTTTCTTGTCAATACAAATAGAACCAGACATACTTTGATAGCCAGCCACCTCTCAAGACACTCCGTGTGCTTAAGGTTATCAACATCAGTAAAGGGGGGTAAGAAAGTAACAAATTCAACTACGACTCACGAAAAGATGATGACACGGTGCGAGACTATAGCTCTTTCTCGTCACAGCGTTCCCCATTCCCTTTTGTACCGCATTCAAAATATCCATACCACCATGACTTTTCCTCTTCGTTGGCCCCGAAGCGTCCCAATGATCGCCTTTCCCTTTTCCGTTTTTTTCTTTTTCTTCTTGCCGACTCTCCCTTTCCGCCTGATGCAAGAGAGGGTCCACGACGATGGTATCCATACATATCGAGCAGTCGCCTAGACTCTGCTCCGGTGCTTCAGGGTCGGGAAGCGGAAGTGGTGGATGATAGTCGTAGGTTTTCACTGTGGCCATTTCGGACAAGTGTCTAGGAAGGAAAAAGGTTGGTCCCAAGTATTCTTGCATCACTACGACAGCTGCTTGTAAGCAAACAAACGCCGAGAGTTGATAGGCCCATGCTAGCGTAGAAGGAACGGTCATTTTTCTGACACACACATACAGAAGTACAAACCGGAGAAAGCAAACTCACGTCGCGGTTCAATCTCGAAGACGTTCCTTGGGCAAGTCAGGAAATCTAGAGATCAATAATAATTCAGATACATGTCCAAGCACAAGACGAGGGAGAAGACGCTTACACAATACTGAGTACAACCTACACGCAGTCGTGCCAAGCACGTACTCTGCCTTTAAACCACTACTCCTTCCTCTCTTGACAGATCTCCAAATTTGGGGAAGCCAGATCAGAGAATACGTAGAAGCCACGAAGAGGAGAGAAAGCGTCGGAGAAAGAATTATCCGGACAATGCATGTCAGGAAGACGAAAAGCATCAAGTCTGTAAGGGTATAAGGAAAAAAAGATGTCGTCACCCATTGTTCTGAGAAGAGGAGAAACCGAATGCTTACACATTCTAGCTTGAGGGTCAGTTCTCAAGTGGTGCCAGAAGAAAGCCCAGAACGTCATGGACTGTGGATTGGGATTTTGGGTAGGAGTGGGTGCAGGCGTCGTATTTGTAGCATTTGCGTTAATTGCGGCAGGCATAGAAGTCGGGGCTTGAGCGGGAGGGGGATATGTGGTAGGTAGAGTATCTGTTCTCTCGGCAGTAGCTACAGGGGCTGGTGTCGCTGTCGCAGGTGGTGGACGGCGCGTTGTTGTCGGCGCAGTTTGTTCAGGGAGTTGGATTTGGTATACTGTCATCGCGAATTGCTAAATATTAGAGGAACCAGTCAGCTGAATAACAGCTGGAGTGTGTGTATTACACGAACCGCTTCGTAGATAAACGCTAGACATGTCAAAAACGCAGGAGCAATCAAACCCAAGGATGTTCTCCCATCGGCGAGAATAGCAAAAGTTATGTGACTGGCAAACGAAACTGAGTCGATGGTGGACTGAACGAGGAACGTCCATCGCGATACTCGTGAAATGCCCGATGGTGTATAACTGCGCTCCATCTGTCGACTGAGCAGAAGAAGCAGGATAAGATACGCTGCGGCAGCTGTTCCAGCGTCTGAAGCGTCATCAGTAAATACTGAAAAGGAGTGGTCTAGTGGTGGATACTCACAGGTGATGACCTTGCGGAAAAATGTCTTAGAACGTAAACCTTCCATGTTGTCGAGTTCATAGAGCATTCCACACTCGGTGCTCAGTAAGACACCCTTGAGTGACATTCTCGGAGGGTTAGCGGTGCGTATTCCAGTGGGCGTTTGAACTTCTTGTTCATATTCTTCCATGAAAACTTCAGGAATGTTGACAGAGTTGAGTTGAGCATAAAAGGTGAATGAGCAATTTGTCACGGGTTGGTCGTCTGATTTATCGTCAATCAGTTGCAAAACAACTGCTAAGAGGTAATCTACTCACCACTAGACTTGTTCTGCTCAATGACACCTGCATCTATCATTTCCTTCAGCTGCGTAATCCTAGTCTCCATCTTTGATTCAATAATAGAGACGGTCTCGTTCACAACGTTTTCCGGAACGAGGGAAGGCAGCAGACGTATGTCAAAAGCACGGCTAGCGAAGGAAAATCTGTACAGTCACTCGAAAACTTTGACAAAAAAAGATGCATACCCATTGGGATTAGCAAACGCGTAAATTGTGCCATTAGATTGAAAGTGAACACCTTCAAAATCCAATCTTAGATCCTCAGAGTCTGGATTGGCCAACTCGATCCTGCCCTATATCATACATTGTACATATGAATGGACTCTTGAGTTTGCAAGTTAGCTTCAAGGAAGCAAGAATTTCGGCGCACATGTATAAAAGCAATCTTTTCTCGAGCAGCCGGACTAGAATTATTAGACGACAACGAAGATGCCTCGTCTATAAAACTCATCGAGGTCCGTGTCGGTGCCGACCAGTTCCAGTCGCCCATTGACTCCAAAACTTTCGACATATTCATTTCGACCCCTTGCATAAGCTTTTCCGCGAGAGGTTTCCACGAAAAGGAGTCAGACGAATTGCTGAGGGCGGCTGGAGTGATATTGTAGAGCTTTGTATCACCATGAATAAAGCCGGTGACATTGGGGTAGTAAGAAGAATGATGAGGATTGAGAGTCCCGTTGTTTGGTAAAAGGACATCCAATAACGATGTTATTGAAGGGTTTCTGTCGGGCTGCACGAGACACCAATTTTGAACGCTAAGCTCTCTATCGTCGGGGGAAAGAACAGGAGTTATACACGCACGAGAGTGAAATTTGAAGTAGTCCCGTTTCTCCAGGCAGTAAAGTTTCCAAGTCGGTCCGTCAATGTCTCCAAAGCTTCTTGGTATTGGTGCCGGGCGAGGTATTCTTCACCATTATGACTGGTGAGAAGAAGTAGCATCAAGAGAATGAAGAGAATAGAGGGTAGAGAGCTCCTTTGCCGGGGTCCTTGTGCCACGACTGTCTCCCCGTCGCGACCTTGGTCGTCCATCGTCGCTGTGAGGGTGAAGACTCGACTGTGTCACAGCCATCACTCTTGGTCACGTGTCATTTACAAGTCCAACAGACGCGACTCTTGAGTCTCATCCTTACTTTCAACTTCAAGTTGTACCTATATCAATGCCGTCGCGTCAACCGTCTGTTCGTTGGGGTCGTTTCCATTCTGCTATTCAACTTGCAATCCAGCGTTCTGCGAAAAAGTGGACGTGAGCTCTCCGCTGTTTGGTGAATCGTCTTTTTTCTCTGCTCACAACAGACTATTTACAGATACGCAGACTTTGCAGAATGTTTCCCTCTCTATTGCAAAGAAGACAGGAATGGGTCAATGGCAGCTTATAACCATATCTCAGAGTACATTGAAACTCAAATCAACGTACGCTCTCTCCTCTCGTTCCCCTTTCCCGCGTAAGGATGCACTGCTGACGGTACATTCTGTTAGCGAGACTTGGAAACCGTCTTCGAGCAATATAGTCTACAGGATAACCTCGATTCTCTTCACCAGACAATCACCGAAGCGAAACAACGTCAAGCTGATGGTACAGCGGGTAAAGATGTTTGGAGAGAAGAACTCGAACCTGTAGGATTAGTCTGCGCAAGGACTGTCCCTGATCTGGAGGCAGAAGCAAAAAGATTACGGGAAGCAGTAGCTGAGGTATGATTAACATTCTTCTTTAACAAACAGCTTTTGCGTTAACCTCCTCTTTAGATGGAAGAGGCGAACAAACACCTCGGAATTGAGTTAGAAGAAAGTACAGACGCTACTAGGGAAGCGAATGCTCGCTCGACGGCACTGTTGGACAAGTTGGATGAGGTGAGGTTTTCTTTCTTAAAGCAGGCAGCGGACAACTGAATCCACTTTCAGGTTATGGAGCTGTGGAAGACGGCTCTTGAAGAATCAAACATTCAAGATTGGACACTGCAGACTGCAGAGACCGCCAGACGTCGACACATATAATCCGCTTTGACTTTTCTTATAATCCCTTCGTTTTTTGCCTTTGTGGTCTGCCTGTATTTGTATCATAGTGTATCTCTACGTGTCCTATATAGTATTCTATGATCTCGGCCTCTTGTACATGTGGTAGCTAAGTTTTCCCTCTATTTCCATGTCTACGAGAACATGGACTGCACCATCGTCCCCTTTCGAAATAGAAACGGTGGATACTTCAACATACGTATCATGATCGCCATTCGAGTTGTTGCAATATTGCAGGAAGCCGTAAAGTTGAAACTATCTAGGCCTTTGCAGAATAGCTGACATTCAGGTTGCTGAGTTGATCTTGATTCTCAATCGTTGCAAATTTGCATGTGGAACTTATATTCCTCCCCTATCATGTACTCTTAATAGATGGATTTTCTCTCTCTCTTGTTATAGTTGATGATGCGATTCGATGTGTGAAAGATTCAAGCTTGGTCGTGTTGTTCGACTCGACTGTCCTCTACGGTTTGATACAGAGTCTGCACGGCATACACCGGTCGTCTGCCGTCCGGCTCTTCTGCAACCCGGCTGATTGGGTCCCTCCTCGGTCCTCCCGGGCATCTGCAAAGTCTACCAGCGAGGCTCCTTCACGTTTGCGACGTTGGCAGAATCGTTTACAGGCTCTATAAAACTGCGAGACATCGGAAAGATAATACCGACATTGAAACCCAAAGTTCATGATGCCCTCGTTGCACTCTCGATCCTACCATACATCAACCTTAGTTGATCGTCATGTTGTCTGTCTAGATTATTAAAGTTAGTAGCAAATAAAA